TGGTTTTAATAATCAGGTTTATGAAGAAAAACTTCATACTTGCAGACTTCGTACTCGTTTGTATCCTTGCCCAATTTGCACAAACTGGAGTTACGCAGTTATTGAAGACACCGGGCTTGGTTAAAAATTAAAACAGCATAAGCACAATTATTCCAGATATTACAGGTTCTGAAAAGTAAAGAATTTTCAGAGTCCTGCCACAAATAAGCTACATATTAATTATTTGTATGATCACTTGTGACATGCCATAACGAGCAAAAATTTAAAAAACTTATAAGTACAGTAGGTTTAAAATTAATAAATACAAATGTATTCTGACAGTTTGTGAGTTAATTATGCTTTCTATTTGCAAAATTTCCTTAATCTTAACACAAAATAAGAAAAAAGTGAATTTTTAATAAATTTGCGGGATATCCCAGGTTGAGAAAAATTTTCCGGGATATTTCCCGGGTTAAAAAATAGCCGGGATCCCGTTTGAGAAACCCTAGTTTTATCCACTCGGCTACTGGTGAGCATGAATATCGAAATCTTTTGATACCGAACTTAAAAATAGACTTCTATTTGAATTTTGGTTGATTAATTTTTCTTAATGGCATCACAAATATAAATTATCAGAAATTATGTGAAGGGAATGTTTTTAATTTAAATAATTAAGGTTCACTACGTTATTTTTAAAAAGGGGGAACATGTAGCTACATCACATTGCATTTTGAAGAATTTTAAAATTCTAAACTAAAATTTTGAACTAAGGATTCGGCTAAGGCAAACTGAATACAGTAGTTTGCCTTAGCCGAATCCGTAGTTCAAAATTTGGTCGAATCCTTAGTTCAAAATTTTAATTCAAAGTTTTTAATTCAAAATTAAGGGGATTATTCATAAACTTTCTACACGAATCTTAATTATCCATCAATTCTTACTCCTGAAGAGGAGCAGTTGCCGTCTTATACTGTGAAAATAAGAAATCAAACACAAGATAACACAACAAAAGCAGGCACACATAAACACACCAAAAAACCAAACATGAAACATTATACAGTAGAGCGTCGTTTATCCGAAAGTCGGTTATCCGAAAGCATTCCTGTCGGCAAATTTAAATTTTCGCTAGTGCTGTGGCGCTGCAATCTTTGGCTATATCTTGGGCTACTCCAATATTTTTTTTTGGTGTGTGTGTTTTAGCTGGCAGCACTGGCACTTTTATGTGGTGTTTTTCTGAGGACTGTGTTGTGCTGAATCGAACGTTTTTGATACTAGATTAATTTCTAAAGTATATTTTTTGGTTTTTATATTTTTCAATATATTTATTTTGTTTGTATAAAATAAAAAAAAAATAATCTTTAACGATACAATAGCCACGATTATTTTAAAAAGTTTGCGTTAAGCTTAATATCGACGAAAATTCAACGCGAAGCGACACGCAACGGAGAAAAATTTCAACATGGGATAGGTTAATATATTTTTCGTACATAATCGGTTATCCGAAAAATTAGTTATCCGAACAACCCCAGTCCCCAATTGATTCGGATAAACGACGCACTACTGTATATATAGTGAAAACTGCTTAGGCGACCACCTGCATTCGACAGGCACCTGTTAAAACGGGCAAAAATTCTTGGCACCGAATAGTTTATCCATAGAGTCTTCGTATAAGTTACCTGTATTAAACGACCACTTGTGTAACGCGACCGCGGGCATTGATTTTTGGTCCGAAATAACATACAACAACTGTAATAAGCGACCACTTCCGCGAATATATCTGGGGCCGAATTCTGGTCTCCATCTCTGGTCTCTCATCTCTAACAAGCCGGTCGCTGATTGGCTAATCCAAATGATTAGCCAATCAGCGACCGGCTTGTGAGAGTAACTATTATTCAACAACTTTTCCCCCTCCTAATATAACGAATTAGTCTAAACTCTCGTTCAAACCCACCTCTGGCACTTCTCCAACCCTTGAAATTAGGGCAGGTGTTAATAAATTAGTCTAGCAACAAAGGAAATTTATTTTAGTTTGTTCGAAATTATCCGAAATGCAAAGTGCTGTCGTTACAAGATCGTGTTTAAGTTATCACAACAGCAATTAGCGGCGAAGTTTAACTGTGGGAAAACGAAATTGATTTTCCATAGACCAACAGTATTTTCCTTGGGGGTATAAAATATTGTACACGATACAATTAATCGGCTGATCTCATCGTTTGATAAGATTTATTTTTATTTATTTATTTTGAAGCTCATAATACAGTCATGTGCGATAAATAGTTTCTGTATCAACCTACCTTATTTTCACGATATTTTTAGAAAAATAATATCCAAGTAATTTTTGCACGCAAAATATTCAAAAAAGAATAAACGCATTAACGCAAAAATCAACTTTCCTTTTTCGATTCCGCAATGACAATCGCGGAATGTAATGAAATCGTATTATGAGAAAATATAATAAAATTGTTTTATTATTAATTAATAATTTTTCTTATTGTACTTAAGAAAATATTAAATATGAAAAATACAGTATTTTTAAAGTTAAAATAAGATTAAACTAACGAATACCAAAACCAAAGTGATGGAGAGATACGACGCGCTTGTATATCCACAACGTAATACACGTAACTGAGGAGCGAACGAAAACAACCAAGTTGAATTAATTAAGTCGGAAAAAAGAAAGTATGCATTATAATCGAGAAAATGCGAGTATTGTATTAATCTTTAAAATATTGGTATTAAATCTGTCTTATAAAATCACGACAAATTCCTGTAAATCGAGTTATCCGATAAGAATAAAATACAATACCAATATAGCCCTATCGTTGAAAAAATTCGCTTATTTTTACTCACCTCGAGTTTTGCTTAGTAGAAATGGCTAAAACGTGCGCAAAATACGTACGGAAATACGGTATTACAGCACCATCTGTATTGGACGACCACCTGTCTAAAAGACCACTTTTTGAAGAAACCGTGGATGGTCGCCATAGACAGATTTTACTGTATATAAAAAATAAAAACTTTTTGGAGTTTAAAAACATCTCTACACTTGATTTCTTGGATATTTCCATTATTCAAAATTTGTCGTTAATAACACTGGCCAACAAATTTTTTGTTGAATATCTATCAACTATTCTATCAACTAAAGCTATCAACTAAAGCTATCAACTATCTATCAACTAAAGCTGTTCTTAACTAATTTGGGAGTGCAGAATTTAGATCGGAGGTTCGTTTTTTCCAGAGAGCTTTGGTTTTTTTTTGCAATATATAAATGTCAAAATTTCAAATTTTCACATTTAACTCGTTAATTTTTTTTTTCGTATGTGGATAAATATTTGATGAAACCTCTCAAAATGAACTGGGCAATAAACTTGTAATTGCAACATAGTCTAAATGTCTTTAGTAATACGAACTGAAACTCATACAGTCATAAACTATCTTAAAATTAGCTAATTAATAAACATTAAGTTGCAAAATAGTGTAAATTCCTTCTTTGGTACAAAATGAAACACATACTGGCATGACCTGTCCTAAAATGAGGTGATTACTAAACATTACATTGCAAAATAGTCTACAAGTCTGTAGTGGTAAAAAGTGGAAACACAGACAGGCATCAATTAATTGCTACATAACACGTTTGGTCCTATACTGGGGGCTAAGTACAAGTGCATACGATCAAGGCAGAAATTTGTGTTTCAGGCTTTTGCATTTGTGACCTATTTCAGGGCAATTTCATTTAATGCTCTAGAGTAGTCTGCCATCATGTTTGTCCCATCTCCCTTGGTAGCGCTCTTCCATGATCTTCTGGTCCTCGTTCGTCTTGCTCGTCACTAACGTGTCCTAAGTTCTCAGAGAATCAAGATGACTGTGTAGGAAATGCAGTTTGACACTCATGTTACATCCCAGATCATGAAATGCTGACAACATATTAGCAACAAGAGTTTCATAATTATCAGCCTTTTTATTGCCGAGAAACTCTTCCATTATCACCACCAACGACATCCATGCAACTCGTTCTTTGTTGTTCATTTTTGAGACAAATTGTGGTCGCGAAGAAGTGTACGAATCTGGGGGCCATCAAGCACACCTGCCTTGATCTTCTCAAGGAACAAAGCAGGGAGAGCACCGACTACTGTTGGAAACATTCACCATCTCTGTTTAATGCCCTCACGAACTGTTTAGCCAATTCCAGTTTGATATACAGTGGAGGAAAGATGATCTTCTCTCTACTGATTTTCATCTCTCTTTCATATCTACACAATTTTATTATATACCATGCCGATAACATAAACGTAAAGTGCTGGAATGCAAAAGTTTGAATCGCATGAAAACTATATCATGAAGAAAAAACCGTTTGCAGATTTGAAGTCAGCACGCCCAAATTATTAAGAATCGGTGAAAAAAATTTTATGCAACTGAGATTTCGAAAAAATTTGTTGGCCAGTGTAATCGTTTCTAATTTCTTGGTCTTTCAGTGTTTTAGCATGTGTTAATGTTAGTAATTCTAAACTCAAGAGTATATTATTCGAAAGCAAATATTGTGATGGATAATCAAAATCATAATTATTATTAATAATTCGTAGATTAGATTTTACTTCTTAAGTTATTCAATACATTAAAGGTCTATGCAATTTAATTTGAATAAGGCATGGTTAACAGCTTATGCAAGAAGAACGAATAGACAATACGAATGAATAAATGCATGATTTCATATGCTGTACTTCGTAGGCAGATAATTTTGATAAATAGCGGATAAATAATAAACTAATTTCATTTCATAAAACGGGATTTTAATGACACTGAAAAATACGAAGACCTCAATAAGAATATGATAGATTTCGAAGTAAAACGAAATAAATTTTGATAAATCTACAATTTATAATGTAAACTTAGAATTGAAAACCTAAAATCTACAATTTATTTTGATAAATAATGTCAAATTTTTCCAATAATCTAGATAGGGAGCGCCAAATTACATCACATGTTAATTTTGAGAAAACAAAAATGTAAGTCTGAGATTTACTTACCAAATCTATGAATATTAGAAGACCAATCTTGAAATATTTGTAATGCAGCCAGACAGAGAATGACAAAAAATATAACCGTAATTAACTTTAAACGTTTCATATTCGATCTGGTAAAGCAGACATTTCTTTTCATCTGAAATAAATATATTTAAATTTTATTTTTTCCAATATATTAAACGAAAATGCTGAAAATCTGACGAATAGTTACATCAAAAACTACGTTACATTAAAAATTTTATATCAAACACAAACCACCTGATAGAAGTAATTATTATTATTAATCCAAATTTCCGTATATAGCGTGCGGATAACCGTAAATAACCCCCTCTTTCCAATGCTGTTTAAACAGATGTTTAACACTCTAATTGCAACCAAATTTAGTATAATGACATTTCAGAACACACAGAAGACATTTCCATAAAAGAAAATTAGTACCAAAATCCATCTCTATAGCACTTTTGGCGCTTTGGATCTTAAGCTGTGTGATTTTTGGTTATGGGGCATTTAAATATTACGGTTTATCGAGGATATGTTGCAAATTTGGCATTGAGATTGCCAATTTTCAAAGTAACAAATTCTGAACACAAAAAACCTAATCTTAAAAAAAATGATGAGCAAAAGAAAACCTACAATTTTTGGGACATTTCCCCCTTCCCTTGATAATGATGAGACAGCCGGATTGCCGAAGCAGTTAAGGTGTCAGTTAAGGTGTCAAAAATGCCACAGTGATAGTTTTGGTACCAATTTGGTTTTATTTGGACTGCAAAGTATCTCTTTAGATAGCGTTGTGTAGGAGTACCTTTAATTACGATCATCCGGTAGGCTATAACCTATTTATAATTAATTAAATATTAAAACAGTAATTTTATTGAAAATGCAGTAGGCCTATATCATTTTAGAAAATAAAACATTTTGACATTAAATAGGTTTACAGCTGCTACATGCTGTTGAAGAGTTCCTTTATATTGAATTCAATTTACAGCAATAAACGGTATTTATTATTCAAAATTATCATTGCACACGGCGACATATTTTTAACATTACAAAATACAGTATATTTAAAATAATTAATTCTTATCAATTATCGGAATTTGAAACTTTAATATAAAAAAATACGATCATTTTCTAAACTAATAAGAAATTGTGTTAAAATACGTGCTCAAAATAACGATTATTATACGGTAAAATTATTTTCATATACAAAAAAGTGTCTTAACAATTGATATAATATGATTATACGTTTATTTTTGAGGCATTTTCATATAATTTCAATACATCACCAAATATATAATAACTATGGTAAATGTTTGTATGCCACAATTTACTTATAGATAAGATATATAATTCAAAGATTTTCAGATTTATGTATAGGAATCGATATAATTTTATTATTTAGTGTAATTTATAGTAATAAAAAATAATTTTGTAATATACTTGTAGTCATGTCAGGAAATGGGTGAAATCGATGTTATATCAAATTCAAAAAGATAATTTCCGATAATATCAATATAGTATTATTTATGCAAGATCGAAACACACAGAGTAAAATAAATTCTTATTTAAAAGTTGTGGAAGTTTTGGAAATGTGATTGTGTTAAATCAAAAGTAACTTGCTTTAAATGGGAAAATTTATCAAACGAACAGCGGTATTCCTTATCGGACTATTAAAGGTAAATAATTTCTAAGCAATTTGGCAGGAGGCAGGCCGCCATCTCTTGTTAAATATAAAAATTATAATTTAATTAATTAATTTAAATTAATTTTAGAATATTCTGAAAGAAAAGATCGAACCGGAGAGGAACTCGAACCCTCAACTCTTGCTTACCATGCAGGAAATGCGGATTCGAGAAAAAATTTATATTAATACACTTAAATTCTGTCAATATTTTAAAAGTTAAAACTCAGATATATTGTCAAGTTATGATTCACGGTTCTTGTTTATCAAATATTCTTTCCGATAATATATAATAGATATATTTGCATTCAGTATTAAAACTTGATTTTTAAATTTGGATTTTATTAAATGATATAAATAATATTATTTGATATTATTTAAATAATTTAATACATTTTCATAATGTTAAATATCACTCGCTCTGAATAATAATTCTTTATCGTAGTACAGTATCTACAATTATGACAACATACAGAATTAATGATGATGTTCTAGTGTTGTAAATTCTGACACTTGACATTAATAAGATTAGTATTTAATCGCATAACTGGTTTGATTTTTACGTATTGATTTTGAAAGTTTCAATTCTTTTTAAATTACTTTTCCGTAAGCTTAAATTATAGCACATTTTTATTTATTTTTGTAATGTGATCGTTTGTTTTGTTGTCATTTGTTATTTAAATTCTACTTAAAGTTCGCTCAATCAACGTTCAATATTCACAACTGCAACATTTATAAAGCGTACGAAATAATAATAATAATAATAAATATGTCAATCATTTCATTAATTTTCTGAGTACGTAAGCGAAGATGTTGTGCTTCTCCTACATTATCATTACGAGTCATTCATAAAAAATTAATTTAATATTCAATTTTATATTTCCTTACTAATGAGCTCATTGGGAATGATTAGAAATACATTAACCTATTGATAAAATGATAAATTAATATTGATATCGATAAAGCATGAGATACATAGTGATAAATGCCTCAATTAAAAATATGACAGAAGTGACACGAAATTTTAAACTTTTTTCTCCGGTATATCAAAATTATTTATCAACAATTTTCAATTCACAATCTGTAGAAAACTCATATATGAAATTTTCTTTTAAAAACGTTATCGTTGACAAAAATTTAGTGCCGTATATCTTCATTATTAGAGTAATTTAAGGACATTTTAAGTTTATTTTTTTAAAACTGAGTTTTTTGTAATGAATTTTAAGAATGAAATACTAATTATACGCTAGAAGGCACTCGTTTCTACCCCTCAAGGCACGTAGACAGTTGCATGATAACAACAATCAGCTGCAACTACGTATCAATTTTCCTCGTGTATTTTTTTTTTGTGTGTGTGTGTTTGTGTGTGTATATATGTGTGTGTGTCCATTCTAATCCCAAAATAAGTAAACGTAGAATGTAATCTAGATAATTAAAATGACGAGTGATTCGTACAATCCCTAATCAAATTGAAATTTAATAGTAGTATTTTAAATTATAAGAATATTTTTTGTTCGGACCGACATTCCTCGAAATAAAATACCATCAATTCTGTGAAAAATCGAAGATATTTTTGCTGCTTTTACATTTTGAAAAGGGAATTTTACCTTTTCCAAATGGTTGAAGAGAATTTCGCGATTTCGGAGAAATAAATCATTACATTGGATAATGTTTCCCAGCAACATCATTAAAATTACAAAGGTTATAATTTTCCGTAACAACCGCTATTTCTGTGCATTTCTTTTTAATCATATTCGGAAGTTTAAATAATAATGACTAAAAGATTAACGATTTTTCAAACTTTATCTATCTGATTTTGTTAGAGTTTGTATAACGGATATCGTTATAAGTGTATAGGCTAAATGCAAGAGTATTTTTTGATTTTCTCTCTGTGAGCTCTAAGACGGCCTTTTGATTAATAACCATCATGGGTCTGCCCAGACTCACAAAGGCTTGGTGGTGAGGAATGAAGCCCGACGTATCCGGGAATTACCGCTAATGAAAATTTTCTAGGATGATTTACCCGGATCTAGGTCCATCTCATAGCGGTGGCTGACGCCTTAACTGCCTTGGCTATTCGGCCGTCCGAATGAAAGGTCTGCAGACAGATCTGTAAACAAAGTTTTCAAAAAACATTGCACCCAAACAGTCGATGTAATCAATAATTTAGTTCCATCGATAAACTAGAATTTCCCTATTTTGATTAACAATTTAAGGATGTTATTGAGAGAAAATTCGAGACGCTATGCAATAAATCCATCCATTTGTAGAACATCTTTTTTGATTTACAGATCAATCAAAAAGTTGTGCCTTTACAGGAAAAAAAAATCAAAATTGCTTTAAGTTAAATTATCCAAAGCAAATTATTGTAACGAAATTATTTAATTCTCGATCGATTATCGAGGTATAATCGAATAATTTCACAAAGTTATCCGCTGTATTTTCTAGTATGATTCGTCTTTACGAATTACACTAGAATAATTTCTGAAACGAATTGCTTAACTTTCCCAAAACATATTAAAACTGCGTGTGACGCCATCTGTTACGATATTTTATTCAAAAATCTTTTTATATTTTTAATTATTATAAAATGGCAAAAACCTTAATTTTGAGGGTAAGAATAAGTTTTATAAAAAATTGTAAATGCTAATGACGAGTAAAATCATCATTAAATCTGACCCTACTTGAGATACATGAACCCTCTTTATCTCATCATTCCTCGACTTTACTTTGTTTGGTTATGGCAACGCAACACTTCGGCGATCTGCTTAGGGGAGGTGCCTTCCGGAGGTCTGTCTAAGGGAAACTGGGTCCTAGTTAGGCGTAGGGAAAAAAACTGAATTTTTTATTGCATTTCTCGACGTTTCAAGATCCCAAGTCCAAAAATGTAAAAATTTTCCGTGTAATTTTTTTTGACAGATCCCTCTGTTACGTACAACATCGGGGAAGTAAAAATGGTATTTCAGTTTGTAAATATAAGCATTCAACTCGAAATTATTATAATAAAATATAATATTTTAATTTTAATTAGTTCTTCACATTTTTAATGAATTTAGAATAAATATTTCAAAAAAAAAAAAATATTATTGTTATTGCAACTTCGTCATAATAAATGGAAACTTCACATTCTCTTTTCGAAATAATTTTTAATGTTATTGTTTACTTTCTTCAGTGATAATAAATATAGACTACGATTCAAAGAAGTATTTTTCAAATAAATTTCTATTTTACATTTATTTAATTTCAGAGCAGGGAAAAAACATTTCCAAAAAGCGCTGTGGAAATAAAAAGCACGTTATGTAAGAATTTCTTAAACTTTGGAATTCATTTTTTTTCTTAAAATTATCAAAATTTTGGTGGAAATTCAGTTTTTAGTTGTTTTCAAATTTGTTCTTCTGTAAAACACAATTCTAACGTGAAAATTTGAGGATTGCTGATTTTTGCATCAGGTTGAATTG